CAGCCTTGGAACCAGAGGACCAAGACCTTTGGGAAGAAGAGGGAATTCTCATGGTGAAATTGGAAGACGATCTCACCTGTCGGCCAGAGTCCATCTTAGAAAGGGATGACCCTGTGCTCGAGACGTCACACCAGAACTTCCGACGCTTTCGGTACCAGGAAGCAGCGAGCCCTCGAGAAGCTCTCATCCGGCTTCGAGAACTGTGTCATCAGTGGCTGAGGCCAGAGAGGAGGACAAAGGAGCAGATTCTAGAGCTGCTCGTGCTGGAGCAGTTCCTGACCGTCCTGCCCGGGGAACTGCAGAGCTGGGTGCGGGGCCAGCGGCCAGAGAGTGGCGAGGAGGCCGTGACGCTGGTGGAGGGTTTGCAGAAACAACCCAGGAGACCAAGGCGGTGGGTGAGGAGGGGGAGTCCTGATCTGTGTGATGTGGAGGGGGACTATTTGCTGGAAGGAAGGATTTGGGGGCAGGGCTTCCAGAAATTACCCTTTAACTAAGGCCTCTGCCCTGGGGTTGCACCTACGTCCACAAGCTCCGGAGGACAGGAGTGCGTGTGAGTGTGTGTGTGTGTGAGTGTGACTTTGGGGTTTTTGAAACACCTGCCCAGGGTCTGTCTTAGGTGATACGACTTAGCTTTTCCTTTTCTGAGTGTTGAGCCTCCATTTCCTGGGGAGGAGAATTCTGTGACTTCCTCAGCGGCTCTCAGACCCGCAGTCACAGGTCCCCTTCCAGGACGACACGGAGGGGAGCAGACAGCAGGGAGAGCCGCAGGCGGGGCGGGCGAAGACGGGAGGACGGGGCCTCGGAGCCCGGGGGCGCAGGGTCGGGGGGTCGGGGGGGAGGCTAGAAAGCCGTGCGGTTTCCGAATGTCCCCTGCCTTGTCCTGGCTACAGCGACCTCAGCTCCTCCCTGCGTGCCCCCGGGGCTGGAGCTTCCCTCCTCGGCTGGGTCCCTCTGGGAGTTTTTCTTTGGACAGCTTCTCACGTAAGCCCCGGTGACAACCCAGACTTTCCTCCTGACTCCATGGTGACTGGAAGTTGGAATTGTTCCCAGGTGACTGTCCATGTTCATGGCCAGGAAGTCCTATCAGAGGAGACGGTGCCCCCGGGAGCGGCGCCCGAGTCAGCTAGTGGGCTCCAGGATCCTGCACAGCCCTCGACCCCTGAGGAGCCCCACCGGGAGACCACGCGGAGCCCGGAGCCGGGGGCGCCCGAAGAGCGGAGCCGGCGCCCCGAGCCGGAGTTCCAGCCCCTGCAGGAGCGCGGTGGGAGCCCCCGCAGAAGTGGGGAGCGCGGCAGAGCCAGGGGAGGGGACGTTTCTCCTGTCCCGAGGAGGCTGGTAGATTGTAAGGGGAGGAAGTCACAATGCAGGGCGCTGAGAGGAGACAGCGCTAGCTGGAGGCCCCTGTAAGCAGGGCCACCGTGGCCAGCAGTCTGTTATTCTCCCGGTTCCAAAAGTGTTATGGTGGTGGCGCTGGGACAACCCCAGCTGCCCTCAGGCCAGTTTCCTCACTCGCATCTTCCCACCAGAAGCGATGGGCAGTAGGGATGCTCACCTCTTTGCTGGTACAGGAATGCCCTGCACGGTGCTGATCCCCGACTTCTTTTCTTCTTAGAGGCTCCGGTGCCACAGGACCCAGCCGTTCCTGAAGAGAGGAGCCCCGGAAGCCCAGAGATGGTTGCCCTCCTTACAGCTCTATCTCAGGTGCGCCCCAGGTTCCGTCTGTACGGTGGAGAACTTGAGGAACCGTGGGGCATTAGCCACATGCTGACCAGGTCAGACGGGGCACACGTTTCCACTCTCCCATTGCCAGTTTGAGTTCTCCGCTCTGCGTGTATCTGGAAGGGGAGGAGCTGCGTCTGTGAGATCAGTTCCAACACCTCAGTTAGATCCACAGGCTCCAAAGCCCCTTGACTTCCCTCCAGCCAGAGGGACTAACAAAACAGGATTCTTTTGCAACACCCCAGCACAACTCTGAAGTTGTCAAATGAGGGTTTGTTTTTGGTTTTAAGGTATAAACATGAAAGTCGTTTGTGAGGATGACTTACTGTGCTGCAGAAACGATTGCTGAATTCGGGTGCTGTCCTCTTCCAGGGACCGCCTTCAGTCAGACCATGACAGTTACAAAGCATTCATTGTGGGGAAGAACCCCAGAACTAAGCTTTGTGGCTGGAGAAAAAAGGCACAGAGTTTATCCTGGTTTTCAGAGCAGAGTCTAGCTGAAGAAGACGTCTGTGCTGCGCACGCTGTATAAGTGATGTTCGATTAGGTCAGGTCAGTTAGGGAAAGCTTCCTCAAAAAGATGAATTTTTGCAGGAATGTAGGTAGCACTGAGGCATCAAATAGGGAGGTGAATGATGACTCCTTGAGACCTTTCTTGTATTTTAAACAGTCTCCTCAGGAAGAAGGAGAACATAGGGCGGAGCCGAGGGAAAGCAGTGGGACTGGAGGGAGCAGGAAGCAGGCCAGCGCAGAGGCAGAAACTTGGGACGTGGCGACCGAGGGCGAAACGCAGATTTCCTGAAAGGGGAACCAAGTGTCCCCTTCGAGTTTATCTCCTGGACGGATCCTGCCTGTACCAAGAGCCTCATCCCAGGAGCAAGACATGAGGCTCCACAAAGCACCCCTTTTTAATGGAATCCCTGTTTTGTTTCAGGGATTGGTAACTTTCAAGGACGTGGCCGTGTGCATCTCCCAGGACCAGTGGAGTGACCTGGATCCAACCCAGAAAGAGTTTTATGGGGAATATGTCTTGGAAGAAGACTGTGGAATTGTGGTCTCCCTGTGTAAGGAATGTCAAGTGTTTCTAGAATGTCCTGAGCACAGAGATCTTCTTTTATTCTTGGAAATTAAGGGTGCCTTAGACCTTAGTGTGTATGTATTATGCTTTCATTGTGCTGACCCCACCAGTGACATAGCCGGGGAAGATGATCTCCTTCGAAGTTAAAGGGAAGAGAAAAATGCCTAGAAAGAAACCTCCAACAAGAAAACACAGCTATAATATTGTCATTTTAGTATGAGTTTTAGTTCAGTGTGAGTAGGTAAGCATGTCAGTTTTGAAAGAAGCAATAAAAATTGGAGATAATCTACCTACTTAAATACGGGAAAAGAGGGTAACGTTTTCAGTTGTGTAATTATTGAGATGCCAGTGAAAGGCAAGAGATGCGCCGTACTCATCAGAGGTGCTCCGGCTAAAGAGACTGAAGGCTGGACTGACTGCCCGGCTGTGTACGTGTCCTGCAATCCACCAGACAGAAGAGGTCTGCCCATGACACAGGGAACCATCGAACCAACCGTGATGTCCTGTTTTCCTTTTCTTGAACAGCATTTCCAATCCCCAGACTGGATGAGATCTCCCCCGCTGGAGAGGAGGAGTCTTTGATCCCAGACATCGCAGAGCCTCCTGAGCCTCAAGAGCCAGGAATCCTGAGCTTCACCTACACAGGTGAGGGATGACAGAGGTCGCGCTCCCCCGCACCCCGCCCCGAGCTGGCAGCTCCTCTGGCAGGTGTTCTCTCTCCCTCTGGGTTCTCCCCACTTCTCGCTGGTTCTTCTAACCTGTCGGCCATGACTGTACTGTCTTCCCCCGCAACCTAATTCTTCCATCCTTTTCCCCCTCTTCACTCCTGTCTTTGGTTTGAGGGATATGTAATACAAAACGGGGACAGGAAAAGAAAAAAGAACTTTTGGAATGGCAGCTACACCGTTTTCTAAACAGTTCACTTAAACTCTCGATCCTCAACCTCCACATTTGTGAAAGGAAGATGATAATATCTGTCCGTGCGAAGGCTGTTGACAGCCTGAGGTAACATGTAAGAAAGTGCCTGACACATGACAGGGGTTCAGTTGCCTGGTTATTTCTTTCCCAACCTCTCCAGTTATGAAATCTCTCTAGATGGTCCTGCCTTCCCAAAACTCTGCTTAAAAATCTCCACATTGTGTGGAGGGCGTCGTTGCCTCTGTAACGTCCCCCGTCCTCCTCTCCCCCTTTCTCCAGGAGACAGGAGTGAGGATGAAGAGGAGGATCCTGAGCAGGAGGACCCGAGTTTGGAGGACCCCCACCAGCCCACCGTGGGAGATGCAGACGTTCACCAGGCTGCAGACTGCGAAATAGTCTTTGAAGATGATCCAGACAGACTCAACGAAAGAAGACTTGACACAAATATTTCTCAAGCTAATAGTTCAACGAGCCTTCAGGAAACCATGCCTGTCCACCCCCTGTTGGGGAGACAGCATGACTGCCCTGTATGTGGGAAAAGTTTCACTTGTAACTCCCACCTTGTTAGGCACCTGAGGACTCACACAGGAGAGAAACCCTATAAGTGTACGGAATGTGGGAAAAGTTACACTCGGAGCTCACATCTCGCCAGGCACCAAAAGGTTCACAAAGGGGGCGCTCCTTATAAATATCCCCTAAACCGGAAGAATTTAGATGAGACCTCCCCTCTGGTCCAGGCGGAGAGAACCCCCCGTGTTGAGAAACCCTACAGATGTGACGATTGCGGGAAACACTTCCGCTGGACTTCAGACCTTGTCAGGCACCAGAGGACACATACGGGAGAAAAACCCTTCTTCTGCACGATTTGTGGCAAGAGCTTCAGCCAGAAATCCGTGCTCACAACACACCAAAGAATCCACCTTGGAGGCAAGCCCTACTTGTGTGGCGAGTGTGGCGAGGACTTCAGCACGCACAGGCGGTACCTGGCTCACCGCAAGACGCACGCGGCCCAGGAGTTCTACGTGTGCAGTGAGTGCAGCCGCTGCTTCAGCCACAGCGCCGCGCTGGCCAAGCACCTGCGGGGCCACGCCTCGGTCAGGCCGTGCCGCTGCAACGAGTGTGGGAAGAGCTTCAGCCGGAGGGACCACCTCGTCAGGCATCAGAGAACACACACGGGCGAGAAGCCCTTCACGTGCCCCACCTGTGGGAAGAGCTTCAGCAGGGGCTACCACTTAATCAGGCATCAGAGGACCCACGCAGGAAAGGCCTCCTAGCCGGCCCCCCTCCTGCGGACGCCTGCCTTCGGCCCTTCCCAGGGATGGGGCGAGAGGAGCCCTCTTGTCGGCCCGGGAAGACCTTTTCTGGGGGGTCTCCCTGCCCTGCCCAGGTCTGCGTATCCTCTTCCCACAGCTCGGCCACCCCCCGCCCTGGGCAGGACTCCTTCCACACCTGGAGGAGAGTCTTCCCAAAGCTCGCCCGAGTTAAGGCCTCTCTCCTCGACAGGAGTGTTCCTGCCTCTGCCTCAGGGGTGTGAGGTAGGAGGCCTAGAAGGCTGAAGACGTTGTGGTTATGACGTTTTCCCCCAAAATGGGCTGTTCCGCATCCTGAAGACTCCCTACAGCCTCATGTCTAGAGCAGCCAGGACAAGCCCTCAGGTTGGGTCAGGGACAGATCTTAAAGCACATGGCCCTGCACTCGGGGCAGGAGGTCTGCACCCCGATGGCCCCCGCACACTCCCAGGCCAGCTGTGCGGGCCTCTCGCCGACCCGCTTCCTCACCGCGGCTTCCCTGTGACTCCGGGAGATGCGAGGCGTGTTCAAGGGGCGGTGTCCTCAAGGCTGCTTCACATGGACCTTGTTGGGCCGCTCCCTTCCCCACTGTCA